ATCAGACTGTTCTTCCCTTCCTTCAACGATGACCTGGGCACCATGCCCACACAGCGTCCGTACTCGTGGAAAAAAAAGTCTCCATGGTCTGACAAGGCTTGTTCAACACAGCCGGAACTGTGTCAAGTTTCGGAATCTTGGCGGCACGAACGAGGTTGCCATCTGCCTGAACTTCCTGTCCATGAGTTGACATGTGTCTCTCAAGGTCTATGGCTGTCAGGAATCTGGTGTGACAGTGGGGACATGCATGTAGTGGTGTTGGAGATGCATGAGACTCATCAACCTCAATGGCACGAGGGACAGGCGGTTCAGGCCTTGTCTGCATGGTCGACGAAGCCGCATTCAAACCTGGCTGAGCCGGTGTCGGTGGCGGAATGGAGATGGAGCTAGGTTCAGTAGTGCCGGTCCTGGAGGCTTTCTGGATGATTGGCATGATGGGAAAGTGTTCAGGTTGAAAGGTATGTCCCATCATGATCGAGATCTGAAAGAGGACCCCACATTCATGTGCTCTGGTGTCACGGCATTCACTGTCACAAAAACTGCATCTACCACGACCTCCTCCAACATTGACCATGCCTTGAACATGATCACGAAAATGGTCGGCAAGAGGAACCAGGTCCGGATGGCATTCCGTGAAGTGCTTTCGAATCGATCGAGCAGCAATCCGCATGTGACAAAAAGTGCAGTGATTGGCAATCTCATTGATCAATGCTGAGTTCAGCAACAGACCTGGGATTGACTTGTGGCGCAAATGCATTTTGAGATCTGGTCGGTTGATGATCGGCACGATCGACTCCTGAGCAGGATCAAAACGAGGACACGTATGCTTATTGATATGGTCACGAAATCTGTAAAAATCAACGAAGACGTGTGAACAATGCGTGCAAATCGAACGTCCTTGCCAGGCGTCTCGTAAAGGCAGAAAAACGTCGTCTGGCTCGCAGGGGACCTGGTGAACCTGCCTCATGTGACGTTTCAGCGTTCCTGCCTGCTGGAAGGTTCGATGGCATTCAGAACAGGCCACTGCCTGAGTGCAGTCCATGGGGGAGTGATGATCCGGTGGGTTGACCAAAGGTTCAATCCAGAGATCTGGGACGAACACACACACATCCGGCATCTCGTTGTCCATGGCTTCAAGGCGGAGTTTGGCCCGTCTAGTCGACAGGGCGTCTTGGATCCGCCGGCGTTGGGTGAGGATGGTTGTCCATGGAGGTGGTTCACGAATGCGTTCAAAAAAATGTGTCGTGGATTCATGAGTGAGACACACAGGTGAGTGTGCAATCGACCGGTGATGTGTGTTGATCATGCTGATGACTTGTCGGAATCCCTTCTGAGTCAATCCCATTTCATGAATGCCATATTGAACCGTGGCCAGAACACATTGCTTGTATAACTTGAGTCTGGTTCGAATGGGGTGGACATCACTCACAAGCCAGGACCTGAGATTGCGGAAGCACCATTTGGCGGCTGTGATCCTACGAGCTGTCGTGTCTGCATCCCATGCTCGATAATCCATGATGACTCCAAGGTACGCTGTTTTCGACACAAGCGGTAGCTGCCATCTTCGTTCGGGCAGCGTCAGGACAGGGCCAGTGGGTGGTCTACTAACCCAGTGACGAAGAAAGGCAGGGGCCTCTTTCCCTTGGAGTCGAAGCATGGCAACTGACTTGTGAAGATTGACATTGAACCTAAAGGCTTGAAGAGTCATCAACACATGTTGAAGGTCAGTAAGAGCTTCAAGGGCTAGGGCTGTTGATCGAATTATCCACCGGAGGTGGATGTCATCTGCATAGACGACCATGTGCTCATGAAGCCATTGATGGGAGTATTTGTTTTGGAGATCAACAAGTACAAGGCTCATGGTGAGGGTCCATAGTAAGGGGGCATCTTTGGCCCCCTGTTTGATTCCCCGATGTGCATGGATTTGTCCGATCAATTGCTTGAAGGGAATACAGTACTTATGGGGGGTGAGCCACGAGTGCACAAGTTGAAAAAGGTCAGGATCCAAATGGTACAACTTCAAGGCTCGAAGCACCAGGGTGCGGCTGACCGTGTCAAAAGCCTTTTCCATATCTAATGAGACTTGGAGTCCTCCAAGCAGCTTAGGCTGAGTTCCAGTCTTGACAGCCCTGCACATCATGCGTACACTTCTGCAATGTTCGGCAACGATGAGAAGACATTCACGTGTCCCTCTGTGAGGCAAGTACGCATAGAGTGGAAGACGTCTGAGCCTGTCGAACGTCTGCAGAATGATCTGTCTGCATTGGATTCCGGCAAGAATCTTGTTGACCGGGTGTTGAAGACAGATTGGTCTGAGAGCCTGGGGTTTGCTTGGGGATTTATTCGGTTTAGTGAGGAGGTGGATCCATCCTGTTGTCCAATGATCCGGAAGGTTTACGGGATATCGAAGCCAAACCTGCTTAATCTGATGCATTAAAGGATCAACAAGATCATGCGCAAAATGCTTCCATATCAGTGCCGGCAGTCCGTTCGGTGCCAGGGCTTTGGTGCTTGGCAGGTGCAAAAGCTCAATAAGCACATCCTGGCGGTCGAAGGGAAGGCGGGTGAGGGGTTCGAGGTCCCGGACGTCAAACTGCGGATCAGCAAACAGTTGTGTATAGTATTGTTCGATGGACTCCAACTCCTGTCTCGGTGCAAGAGGCATGCCATGAGTATCAAAGAGTTGAATTCTTTTCGGTCTTTGTTTCGGACACAGGAGCCTGATCTTCCGGTACCAGTCAAAAATGCGTCCATGAAGGGCAAGATCAGCACCCTCAGTGAGAATCTGGTGCAATTTGTCTCTCTTATTCTGCCTGCTCTGTTTACGAATGGCTTTATGGATGGTTCGGAAGGTGGTGATATGAGCCCAACACTCAAAGAGATCGCGAATGCCGCGTCCTCGAACGGCCAGAGCCTGCTTGCGGGCATTCCACATCCTGGCGGCCATGGAGGGAATCTGGGGTGCATGAGGGACCCTCGGTTTTCTTTTGGGAAAGAAAAGAGAACAAATGGTTCGAAGTTCTTGTTCCAAATCGAGCATGGATACCTGATGCGGTGGATGAGGTGTAGAGTGTCGAGCGATGCACTGACGAATCTGAACCTCGAACTGCTGCCAGTGTGCAGTGTGCTCTATTCTAGCCGTACGGATGGCAAATCTGTCAATGTTGTTAAGGGGAAGCACTGGTTTCCGAGGCGCAAACCACCTTGGCAGGACAAAGAACAATAGATGATGATGAGGTCCGTGACATCCAAAGTTGCGCATAAAACTCCTATCCATGGTGGGTTGCATACGACGAAATTGAACCTGATGTTGTCGAACAAAAACATAATCAATGCGAGAATGATGGGAGCCATGTTCAAAGGTCGATGCATACTGCTGTTTACAATGCAACGCAATCAGGTCCTGTGCTTTCAACAATTGCTGAAGAAGATCTCGATCGGGGTGAGTGTTCAAGGATGCACGGGCATCAAGGCTATTGATGTGTGGCGGATCGAGCTTGAGGGTGGTATTAAAATCACCCATCAGGATCATTTGGTGCTGCTGCGGAACATGATTCAAAGTCTGCTGCAAGCTGGTCCAAATCTTGGCACGATTATCAAGAAGCTATTCCTTGCCTTTGGTTATATTCCAAGCATGTTAATATACAACGATGAAGTCATATGTGCAGTCCAAAAAGAGGCGGATCTGAAGAAGTCGGCCATCAAAATGAGAGGCCGAGGCAATCTGTTCAGGTCTGGCCAGGGTATTCCGGATGAGCACCAGTATGGCTGCATGCTTCGTCGATGAATGGATACAATACCATCCCTAGATCCCTAGGACGTCCAGGTGGAGTTGAAATTCCAGCCAATTTCCTACAAGGCAATGATGTCCAGAGGTTAGGAAGTACACCAATGCAAGAGCTCGTCATGGACCAAGTTCTTCGAGGCATTCCAGGTCATGCACCGAATGCCAGGTGTTATTTGCGGTAGCCGTTGCTTCAACTTGTCTTATGAGTACCGTCGATAGGCTTCTCGAAGGCGCCAGGGTACATCGGTATCAAAAAAATAGCCTTTTCGATAAGGCGTATAGCCATATTACAATGCTCGGAAGCATGCTCTCTTAAAAGTCCTCTTAATCTAAACGATGCGCGGTCGAGAGACGACAAGGCCGTAGCCTCCTCTAGCCCATACCTCAAAAGGCTTCGTGGAGAAACTCTATTATCGAGTGAAGGAACCATCTCCACTTTCGTCCGGGATTAAAGAATCCGGGACAACCCTCACGCCATCCATGGTTCCGCTCGATATAAAAGGCGAAGCATTAGCGTCCATGGGCCGGTCCTAGAGTTAGGACCAAGGAAATTAATTTCAATTCTAACAGAATAAAATACAGCCAGATAAAAACTATCATCAATAAAGTGAAGACCAAAAAATCCAAAGCACAAAGTAAAAAAAAAAAAGGCGAAAAAATCTACAAAAAAATAGCTACCGTAATTCGAAGTTAAAATAGCGCTTATATAAATTATACTTTATCAATATATATCATTATTAATATATATATAATATTAATTAAACCAATAAATTCTTTCCATTAATATACATTTATAAATATTGTTATTACTATATTTATTCAATAATCATTTTCATATATATATATTTTTTTTTTTTCATTATCTTTATACTTATATCTATATTAATATATATCCCAATATTGCTATTAAATCTTTTTTAATCCCTATTCAATTTTTCCAAAAACAAAATGTATCCCGAAAAATTATCATTTTATGTTACAACAAAGGAAATAATAAAAAATACAAATATATATAATCATTATAAATAATACAAATTAATTCAATATTTCGTTCCAAATCTAAACATAGAATTTATCGAATTTTTCCTAATTACCGATCTTAATAAGAAATCCCATATTATTAAATAGATAAATTCAATATTCGATTATACATATATATATATTATAAAAAAGATATATATATATATATTAAACATGTTTATATATGCAAATCTATTTTTGTAAAGATTCAATCGTTGGCATATATGTTGGTTTATCAAATTAATTGTAATTTAAAATATGCCGCTAGACATATTCAACCTTCTTCCAACATGTCGAGTGCATGCAATGCTTGATATTCTGACTACCAATGGGGATGGGACAAGGTGGCGGCCTGTTCAGGGCTGTTTGAAAGGATCACTGGAGTTGGTCTGTCCAGCATCCAAACTGTCACACACCAATCTCAAACAACACTCCTCACCATGTTTGATGAAAGGAACTGCTGCAATGCTTCTTTCCACTTGATCCAGCCATTTCTCGGATCTCACCTGGGCATTCCGCTTGGATCCACCGCCACGTGCCGGCCCTGGGCATTCCGCAAACGGGCTGGTTGGCATCAAGGCCTTCATGGTTCCTCACACCAATTCCTCTTTCTGATCTGGCCTTGGCGCTTTTCACCTGATGTGGCGCTATTCTTCACATCAACATCAGTTTGTGTTGGTCTTCTAGCCGGAGCCAAATCTGAGCACTTTTGAGAATTGGGACTAGTTTGGATTTAGCCATTATTTGATTAATCACAACTTGCGACAATTCCCGGCAACATCCAATAAAAACTCGTGACATTTTATGACATTTTGATAATGCACATGAACAAATACTTGACTCTAGCAGTGGGATCGAAAGGCATGTAATTAGTAGCACAGCAACTGGGTTCGAACATAGAGCGTCCTGATTTGCAAACCATTCTGATCATCACGACTGCCAAACCTTCTCCACCCCCCAAGTCCTTGCCTCCCGCACTTTTGGAGGTGTCAGGGGCCGGCTTCCGTCATCCCAAGCCAAAATGTTCCTGAGCCAGATTCACTTCTTCTGAGCCACGCACGCTTCTTGCTCCGTTCGTAGCGATGCCCTTTGTTCCTAGAAGCTTCCTGTTACTAGTAGTAATGCCAGGAGCTACTAGTAGATCCCCAAAGACCGGGTCTCAAAGGATTGATGGCTTCGTTCTTCGACTCACCCAACGAAGCCAAACCCGCGGAATCCGCGGCGTCCGACGAACGACCCGGACCGCAAAGTGTCCGAAAAGGTGGAGATCGTTATCAACATGTATCAAGTGTATCAGCGTTGTCAAAAGGGCAGGTCCAAGAAACAGCATCCTTTGCGTTGTCCCTTCTGTCCAAGGTGCCACGCAATCAACCTAACGTTCCATTACAGCAGACTGGGATTACCCATCAAACTGCATGAATCACGATCAATCCCACCTTTTGGTTGAAACATGTAAAACTATGTTATAAACTCATAAGCTGTTCAAGTCAGACACCCCAGTCCTCTCAAAGTGTTCATCCTTTTGAGGGTGAAATCTGAGCACCTGCTCAGTGCCCAGCCCATGGCCACTGCGGTTGCGGGCCGAGAAGGCCTCACGCTGGATCTCTGCCTGAGAGGCACATCGCTGGATCTCCTCATGGTATCTTGATGTCTATCACAACTCATTTGCATCAATCACATGCAAATACCATCAGGATACGGAACTCATCCAGGATGAACAAGATGGAACCCTCCTCATGAAGGTGAGCGCCTGGGGGTTCGCGTGAACTGTTGGGATTTCCGATCTTTGTGACTGAGCTTCTCATTGGATGATGTGGGCTGCTGTGTGTGCCTTCAACCACTCATTTGAAAAATTGGCATCGGAAACCAGGACAAGGTTCTTAAACAAAGGCCTCCCCTTTTTGGCGAGGGCAAGTCTTCTCTGTTTCCCGTTGTTCCCCAATTCCACCTGCCTCGCTCATCCCGCTAGCAGCCGATGCAACACCTGTCTGCAGGGTGAAGCAGCACAACAATAAAGGAAACCACAGCCATCTAAGGCACACAATGAGCACCACGTCATGGACTGGGCTCAATGTTTGCTTCCCGACGACGACCAAACATACTGCGATTCCAAAAGTGATGTCACCCCTATCAAAAGGCTCTCCATTGCAGAACCACCTGCACCTATCTACACCCGAGTTCACCACATACATGTGGGCAACAATTTCTTTTCAGTGATTGCACTGAAAGGAACTCAGGCGTCCTGGTGACCTTGACATCTTTCTGGGATGAACTCACTGGTGTTTGCTAGTTTTCTCATCTCTATCTCCCATGACACAAACATAGTCCCTTTCTCATTTGCAGCCACAATTGACAAGATAACAGACCCACAAACGGATCACAGGAATGTCATCCGACCTCCCTGGGCTTTGCTCTATACCTTTTTTACCGAATTGTATAGATAAGTCATGATAAGTCAACCTGCAGTCCTAAGCATCTGCAACTTGGCCAAGTATTTGTTGACTTGCTTCATCCCCCTTGGTGGCCCACAATCCCAAACCTGCCAAGGTTTATGTTGAACTAATCCACACCGAACTACCCCCTTTGGCCTCATGAGTCTCCTGGGCTTCCCCGCTACCCGTCTCGGCCTTCGCCAGGTCCCGTCGGGGCCTGGGTGACCAAGGAATGGTCATCCCTCTGCGCAGGAGATTCACCACTCTGGGCACGATGGTCAATGGTCGATTGAATGTCATGTCGAGTGCGAGCAGGACATTGAGTTTCTTGTCTTGATGTTTCATCGATCTAAGTTGCAGGAACAACAACCCTGGAATTTCACTTCAACACACAGGTGTTTCTCGTCCGAGCAACCGGGGCCCAAGGCCCATTCTTCTACATTATTCTTTTTTGTTGTTGCGTTGTCATGTCCTTTGCCCTTCTTCACCAAGGACTAACAAGGATCGCCAGGGACTAGCGATTGCCAAAGCGCAAGGGCTTCGCGATCTTTCGCCCGAAGATGTCCATGTCCTGAGCCTGGTGGCCGGTGGACCCGAGGACGAAAGGAGCTGGGCGGCTGCCTCTTCTGCTCTCGCTTGTTTTGGTCATGAGATAGAACATGACGACACCTAGAAAAGCCAATTCAATAGTATTAACATGTATTAAACAAGCAAAGCAAAGCTAAGTGTTCAAAAAAATCAAAACATACCTCGGGCCCAAACCCCATGTCGAAAATGCTTCACGTGTGACGATGATTGGGGAGTGGGTGGTGACTAGTCACCCTAGTCACCCTTGCTCAGGTCGAATCGACCCACCGCGCCGCTGCCGCGCAGCTGCGCCTTGGGCCTCGCCACCGCGCCCAAGTCCTCGTTTCGGTGCGTGGCACACCGGACAGGCGAAAGGGACGCCGAACGCCGCCTGGGACGCCCTGCACCGTGTTCTCAACGTCTGCGAGTGGAGTGGACACATGGAAACCAAAAGCCCTTTTTCTATGGTCTGTGTGGTGTTCTATCCAACCCTTTCTCTTGGTCGTCAATGGGACGTCAATAGGAACAAGTTGGCCTAAGGCCAGGGGCCTTGTTGTACACCGCCCTCCTTCGAACCTCCTCATTATGAGGGCCCAACTTGAACAGTACCAAAAACCAACTGACTTGGATTCAACAGGGAGAAGTGACAGGATGTATCAGAAGGCAACGCTGACTCCAGACATGTACAGGTGTTCTTGTTACCCTCTCTACTTCTACTTGTCGTGTCACTCAGATGCAGGCTGCAAATGACCATGAGGCCGAATTGAGTCCCTGTGGAAAACATATGTTGTCCTCACTCACCAAGTTGTACATGTGTCTCAGCAACTTCCAGCTTTCAACATCTTTCATCTACCCCTAAACCATTCCCCTAACCAATCCGGAACTAAGTTCCAGCTCTACCCACCACGCTCCTGAGGCACTTGGTCTTCAGGAACACCACCTGGCGATCACACCAGCTGGTTTGCATTGGTGCTTCTGCTGGAGAGGGCTTCTCCTCAAGATATATGATGATAACTTTGATGTATAATACGATAACTACAGTTGCAATAATACATGTAGTTATAATGTGTGGGTATATGGAACAAGTGAAACCTATGACATGACCACTGCCAACTTTGGCTCCATGTGCTCTTGAAATCCTTCGATTGTCCCTTTTGATCCAGCAATTCAAGTCCTTTTGGCAGCCTGTTTGATATCCTCCCAATTGCGGAAACACATCAATATACCCAGACTTCCCAAAGGCCTGCAGTCTTCTGAGACCAGGTGGTTTGGCCACTTGACTTTTCTAATCCCAAGCGGTATCTAGTGGATTGAGGAATCCAAGCAGAGCTAAACCTGTGATCGAGACACAAGGCTGGGTCGTCAGAACCCAGGACTATTGCCCAAACCACTGGTTCGTGAAGGAAACATCATGCTTCGTACATCGGACCCTGGCGTGAATGAACTGCACTGTCCTCTTTCCCGCATACTTTTGCTGTGTTCATTGAGCTGAAATCGGCCCTATCGTCTTCAATGTACTGGGGAATCATGCTGCGGCAGGGAATCACCCTTTCATATTGTGTGCGGATTTACCTATCGTTTTCCGACAACAATTTCAATCCAAAGGCCAAGTAAGAAAACATATAAAGCAAGTTGTCTTCATACTTACCTGGAGACTAGTTTATACAAATTAACAAACCTGCGAGTCAGGTTCTGTGTCTGTGTGCATTCCTGACCCAAGCACTCAGCACCCAAATTTCACACCTAAGGCGGGTGCAGGCTTGTTGCCGGGCCTGGTGGCCGACGAGAACATTCAGAGAACAAAGGACCCTCATCTGTTGACAGTACGCCAATCATCTCCAATCAACACCTGCTAACCTACAGTAAAAAGTTTGAACGAGCAAGACCTGTCCCTGCTCAAAATGAAGACTCTTGCCCCGTGAAACTGGAAGTATAGGCTCAGGAAGCTCATGGTTGTCGCAACACGGATCCGCTGAATCTTCAAACATGAGCTTGCTTGCAGCCAGTTGATCTAGAAATCTGACCAAGTTACAAAAGGTGTTGTGAACCTCAAAACATGTCGACACGCTCCAAGTCGTCCACAAGTCGTTCTCAGAGAAAATGCGCCAGGCTGAGTTGCCCAACTCCGACCTCATCCACCGATGTCCATGAACCACACCATCAAGAACGAAACACACCCTCTCAGCGTCCCGGTCTGGGATGGCCGCACAGAACATAGTTCTCTGAGGGAAGCTGAAAATGCCTCAGTGACCACACAAAGCCATTGAAATTCGGCCTGCACTGCCAGTCTTTGGAGCAAAAGGCTTTAGTGGTTGTTGATGTTGTTGGCATCTTAAGGGGTATCGGTATTAAGGGTGCTTTTGGATTCAATTTTACGTGCTTGCGCACCAAACAGAATTACACCAGAAACATTCTGAACCTCTGGCCTCTTTCAGCCTCTGTCCCTAAGTTTTTGGTTTGCTTGGCCGATCTTTGCGGTTTAGTTGGCAGCTCTGAAGTCAATTAGGAGCTTTTGAGCTTCCCAAAGCAGAATTCAAGCTTTCTCTCCACCCTCCGCTGCCCTCCGCTGCCCTCCGCTGTCCCCAGCACTGCCGCATTGCCTTTCCGTTCTCCCTTCGACCGAGAAAAGGATTCGGCGCCTTCGACCTCCACGCGACATGGGCGCCAAGGGATTGGTTGGCCTTCCAGCCGCTGAAGCCTCGCAACCAAAAGGCAACACGATGTCCAAGAGGGGAATTCACTTGGAAGTCTATATCATTCTATCATATTCTATATACTATATCGAAGATATTCGAAGATACTGGCTGGGGTTGGACTACAGGTGAGTACAAGGATGGCTGAGTCATCAAGAACAAATGATGATCAAACAATCAGACTTGCAGCGGCCGATGAGAATGATTCACTCAAATAATCTGATCGCAGTTGCGGTTCCAAATGCAACTGAAGTACCTTGTTCTTCCAGCCCAGCCTCAGTGCCAGCCTCACTAGGTTCATAGGCCGACCTCATGGGTCATGACATAAGTGGGCTGTTCAAGGCAGAATGGGCATGGAGGCCCATCTTTCACACAAATTATTGGACGGGGACCACATATAGCGTCCCAAGTAACTGAGTCCACGGCCAAGCACTTGGAGCAACACTGACACCTTCGCGCCTGCGAATGTATCATCATTCCAATTAACACCCTGCCAAGATTTCAGCAATCACATCCAGCAACCAGTTGGAGGCCATCGCTAGCAGGTTGGAGGCCATCGCTAGTCGGTTGGAGGCCATCGCTATTAGGTTGGAGGCCATCGCTACTAGGTTGGAGGCCATCGCTATTAGGTTGGAATCCAGCAACCAGTGAGTCAAAGGGCACTCTTTTCACACCCCATGCCTCGCTGTACTGTGCGCATCCCGCCGAAGGCCCGACATCATCTGGCTGCGAGATCTCGTTATGTCACGTGGGTTGTAGGGTTGGAATTGGGGTCAGCTCAGTTCGGAGATGTATGAGCAACTGCCAACACAATCCAAGACCTCCATATCTGGTACGGGACAGCCGAACGATTAGATCTTATACCCATATCCTCCTACAGGACCACAGGTTCCAAGAGTGGCTCTCTGGCGGGTGTTTCCCTGGATTCTGCAAGAGGTAGTGGCATCCTCTCCACAAATGCATATTTCCAGTACATGAACTGCAAATATTGTAGTCTGGGTCTGGGCCTCACAAAATTTCCAAGTCTTTGCTACAATTGCTCGGTTCTAGTAGGTTTTCCCTCATTTTGGACTTGGACTGACTTTCTATGACTTTCTTGGACAAAAGCAGCTGGAAACTTGTGGAAGCTGAGAGCTTACTCACTTGGCCTCCCTTCTTCCAAATGAATTCTATGCACTTGTGCAACCATCCATCCGTCAACACCTGTGGCTGCGCAGCCGTCCCGCTGCGCGGTCGGTCCGTCCCTCCGGCCGAGGCGAACTTCATGGTCCGGGCCGACAGGTGCTTGTTGATGAGTCTCAGAAACCTGGAGAGGTGTGCGTGGAGGTTGAGAGGTTGTGGAGAGGTTGTTGGTCGCATGTGGAAAGGATGCGGAAGATCACTCCAGAAGTTGGTGTTTTCAAGGGGAAAATGATGATGAGTCCCTGGTCAGTTGCAAGGATGGAAGGCTGAAATGACAGGTTTCAGGCGGTTTCAGGGTCTCTTTTTGGACATTGGGATACCGTGCTTCTGAATCAACGTTTCCGACTGGAAAGTTCGGACGACCTCCACCGACCGCGCCTGGGGGGGTAAACCACCGACACACCGCCGACGCGAAAAGCGCGACTCGCTGAGGACCACGACTCGCTCTCTGGGTGCGTGATGTCCACACCTACCGACGTCGGAGCTGCATGGAGCTGAACCCGGCCATCGTCGGGTCACTGGGCTAGCTGCGGCGAGCTACTAGGTTGGAGGGTGTTAGGGCATTTGGCAGCCTTTCCACGCTAGCATGCGTTAGCCGTTGGCCACACACACAGTAGTGTTTAAATAGGTTCGCATGATGAGATGAGACGCAGCTTTGTTGCTTCATCCAAGCAAAGGATTTCCCCAAGCTCCTGTGGTATGCTAACATATGCTAACTGTCTATCGAGCTAACGGGGACACACAATGAATTATCTAACTCTCAGTCAGTGCATTCATCGACTCTAGGAGTTGTTTGGCTTTATAGGCTAGTAACAAGTGCATCGCTACTAGTAGCAAGGGGCATCGCTACTAGTAACACGGGCATTACTACTAGTAACAAGAAGCTACTATAAAGCTAAGCAACTCCCAAAGTTGATGAATCCACTGTAACCATCCATAACAGAACTCTTAGAGCTCAAGCTCTTCCCTACTCCAAAGAAACATCCACCTCCACCCCAAGTAATACTGATCTCCTTTCATCTCCACTCCAGAAAACAATACTTGCTAAATTGAAACAGTGTTGAATAGGCCGATTTGCCAATTCTGATGCATCTCAGGGGGCCCCATGTTTAAATATTTATTAATCAGGTGGTGATTATTTGCGAAAACGAAGGCGACCTACGTGAAAGGTATTGAAATCGTTCAGACTGCCGCACTCTTTAGCTTTTGCCGACATCAACACCCACGCATTGGATCAATACTGTGCAATACTCACTTATCAAACCTTTCACCTCTGAACACAGGTTTGCACACAAACCTGCCAGAATGTGAATTTCAGGGTGGCTTTTGTGTTTCCACATCAAAACGGGTTCCTGTCCAGGCAGCCCCACTGTTTCCCAGAACTTGCTGCATCTGCGCCTGGCCAGCCGTGGAGCATTCATTCCACTGACCATGATTTCGTGAGATGGTACGTCCAAAAAAACCGAACACCTGCCAAATGGAAAATACCTGGCTATAGGATCTAGTGAAGTCAAAAAAGAACGGCTCCTCAAAGGAAGCAACCATTCTTGGATCGAGTCTAGATCAGTAACCAAGGCCGAATGGAGGTCGGGTTTCGGCTTTGACACAGGACTTTGTTCCAGGTTTCAGCAGCTGCGACGTGTTCCCAGCTGCCTGAAACGCTTGGTTGGTCAGCTGATTGCAATCCTCAGCAGGGCGGTGCTTCAACAAACAAGCACGTGGGCCTTGCACCAATATTTCAAGCAAAACCTTCCTCAGCAACACTTCCAGAGCTGGAATAGGATCGAAAACCAGTGTCGACGACCATATCGCTGTGGATCCCAGGGCTGCTCCTTCAAATTCCTCCTTTCCAAGACTTACAGTCCACTTTCTCAAATACCAAACAATGCCGTTGTCATCGTTCCTACCAGCCAGGATTCTTCTTTATAGCTAATTCCACTTGTTCACTTTGAGGAGTGGTTCGATACGGTTCTATATGGTTCTATTTTAGAGAATCGCTCAATGACCCAGAGGAGTGATCCCGATTTGCCTGTTCCTCTCCCCATTTCTCCACGCTTGGAAGCCCCAGCCCATTGGCCATAGAGCCGTTGGATGGCGGGGCCTCGCCTGGCATGCGAAGTCGGTTTTTTTCTAACACCAAACTGCCACACTAGTTGGTGGGTGGGTGGATTCTGTTGGTTGGAACAACTCTAACCCAAAGTTTGTGCTGTTGATCTTTCGTGATCGTTCTGATTTCAAAACTTTGGAGAAACTCCTAACTCCGCAATCAGTGAACGGTATCTTGCGCTGTATGTCCCGGTCGTGGACGAAGCAACGTTGTGCAGGACAAGCAACGCCAAGAGCAAGCACAGCAAGTGAAAGCGAATTGGTGAATGAACATAACTCTCAGAACGAAAGGCTAAGGCCCCCAAGAAAACAAAAGCTCCTACGGTAATTTGCCTGCATTTATATAGCTTTTTCCACTTTGCACAACGGAAACTTCAGGAAGACTGACTGAGCTTCGCACTTCTGCCAAAACACATCGTCCACCACCTTTGAGACGACAACTGCCCGCACAGGACTTTCAATGAACAACGTGTTGTTTGGAACCGCCTGCAGCTATGGAACTAGCCAACTAGTGAAGGGCAAGGACCAAGGGCAAGGAGACTGGCCCACACCTTTGGGTGATTTCCACGGAAGGCAGTAGTCGTCCAGCTTCCTCTTCTTGTCCGACAAGGACATCTGCAAACTGTGAACTTATCTTGGATGCCTAGCTCATCCTAGCCCTTGACTACCATCAAGCTCATGCCCCAATCCAACCAAATGTGTCGCTGAATGGATCCAAATATGTCGTGGCCTCCAAAACTCGCACTGGCGGATGCGAGGCCTGCACGGTGGACGTCGAATATCGGCGAGACTGCGCAGCAGACTTTGCAGGGGCATCAACCTTCTGTAAGATCAGTGCCAGCGAACCAGAGAGCCTCATCCCAAGTAACTTGACACAGTTCATAACAGTTCGTTCCGGAAAAGACCGCTTTTGATGTGTTCCACCGTTTCAACATGTTTCAACCAAGCCATGATGACAGCCGTAGCACTTTCCCAGCACGGCCATGGAATGCCACGGAACTTGCTACAGAATGCTCGACTTCGCCCGACTTCGCACCTCGTGCTCCCGCAACTGTGCCTCCTTGAGCCTGGGTCGGTCTCTGGGACCAACGCACCAACGGCAACAAGAACGCACCACTTTGTTGGAGACATTCAAGGTGGTTAAAATGCTTGTAAGGTGGTCATGTAATTATTTGTGGTCTTTCTAGATCAACCAAGTAGCAATCGGACATGTGTTCCCAGTTTCTCATGAGGGCGGTTGGTGGGTGCTATTTTGCGACACACCCTTTTGGTGGGTCCTGCCACTGTCTGAACACGTGGATTGGCACAATGTGGGCACTGCTCCGACCATTCGTTTACATACGAAAAGACCAGCAGCGCCCAGTTTTTCTGTACCAAACCAAACATTTTGTTATGTTCTTGAAAGCACACATGGCATGTAAAAGGGGAGATTTGCTTGAAGGAACATCTACTTGGTCTGTGTGTCTCCTGACCCAAAGTCTGCTTGATCACAGGTCAGCCCTGACACATGCAGTGGTAGAGTCCATAGAGGCAAAGTGCACCCATTGCAAAATGGCTGCCAGTGGCCACAGCAGCTTGTTCAGCGAATTCCACCACTTGATCCCGGACTGGGTGTAGATGGGACGTAGGTCTTCCAATTCTGGGACACTCTTCCATCCTCATCCTCCACAGCACGACGACTGGGCTCCCAGTCGGAGAGCTCTCAGGTTCTGGAGCCTTCTCGACATACCTGGGACAAACATCTTTCTTGGAGAGCCCCCATCTTCTCCCCACCAAGAACCTCACAATCTGGGATTTTTCAAGAGGGTCTAAAACATAATGATGATAAACTGGCAAACTGATAGCAAACTGGCCTTTCCATCCTTTCCTGATAGAGACCCCCTTGATAAACCTGATAACAATTGATAAACCTGATAGCAAACTCTTGATCAATTGTGACCAACTGGCCTTTCCTCAAAATGCCCATGTGACCAACCTGCTGGTGCCCGCAGAGTGGATGGAGTCGGCGCACGAGGCTTCCTTGGGATATCCATGGCCTCAGCACTAGGGATGCCTTCACAAGAAAGGCACGCACCCCGCAAAAACAAAAGGACCAGTGGAGAGCTACGATACTACTTATTACTGCAAGCTAAGCCAGCAGTGTTCTGGGAGGATCATGATGTACCGAGATGGACCTGTCGAGAGAAGCGGGTAGCAGTGGCCTCCAAGCTCTTTTCGTTCAGTCAATTCATCTGATGGGAGCAAAGATCGTAGATCATCCCACAAAAAAAAAATATATATACATACATACAGCATCGCACTACTGCAAAACAGCATCTGACATCCATAATCATGGGCATGCTCCACTTCCGTGTTTGTTCTACAAGGGCAGTATGAGACAAACCTATATACAGTTCAAAGGACACAGTCCACCACCTAAGAAATCTTAAGAATCGTTTCAAAAACTCAAGGCCGGCTGAACATACGACTTGCTCATCTCTCTTTCTCGAGTCATCGCGGATCTAAGGGCATTGCTGGGCGAAGCGGCTTGACCCTGCTCCTCCCATTGCGGCTTGACCGTCATGGCACATATGGATGTGTTGCGGGCCACGGTGTGCAACATGCCCACTCTAGTCTTACATGGCAAAAATGGAACCATGGGCTTCTTACATGTTTTTTCTCAACATCATGCATTTCTATGTCATTCTACATGATTTCAATCTATATAATTTGAGGCAGTTGCAAGAATTAAAAGATCCGAAGAACAGTGGGATGGATCCGTTGCTTGGTGTTGTACCCAACAATCAGGTTTGATTGGCAAACATTCAAGTTGATGCGAACATCTAAAACATCATGAGACACCTTTGAAGGTTTAAAACTCAAATAACATATGTCAGGATGCTGGACTCTTCGCTTCAAGGGAACAGCTTGGTCCAATCCAATAAAACATGACATGCCACCATACGTCACCCTGATTGTGGCAGATCTCTCCTGGCAAGAGCTATACTTCTGCATGCTTCAATCTGCGGAATCTGAAGGGTCAGGAATCCCAAGCACCGGTTCCCACCGTGCTGTCCTCCACATCTTGGCTACCCACACCTGGCAGAAAAGCTGAACTTGTCTGGATTCTGCACAGCAAAATCACTTCAGTGTGAATAAAGGATGTGATGAACTAATTAGTTGGGGACACACAACATTTCAATTTGTTTGAGGACACGGCCGACTTAGACTTGTCGGTAAACAAAAGGATCCAAACCGCCTCCTCTCTCCTTCCAAGGAAAAATTGACTTTCTGATATCCGGATCTGATGCAACATGAGTCCGTCCCGAGATACTCTGCGGGATTGGTCTAGTCTATACCATACTACTGTGATTCTACATGATTCTACTACAGTACTGTAAACTACTGAAGACAAGCCTCAAAAAACCTGAGACAGGGTGTCCCACTATGACGTCCTCACGTTCTTCTGTGCAGCTTTGCAACAACATGAAACAACTATGATGTCCTCTGAGAGGACAGTTCAGGTGTTCCAAGTTCGAGACAATGACAATCCCAACACCACAAGAGTTGGATGTCCTGCGATGTCGGACGTTCCCCGTGAACTGCCCCTCCGTTCCAAAACGAATTCTTCCTCTTCTCAATCAAAGGGCAATGGTAGATCGTCTTTATTGCCCGGTTGGAGAAACATCAGACCTCACAGACACCATCTTGTGGGGAAGTTCATGCCAAACCCGCCACCATTGACTACACCTCACAGTGCATTCAGGACTCCCGTCCTTTCCTGTCGATTCCCTCGTACCTGGACTGAGTGACGTAGGAAGTTGAAGCTTAAAATCAAAAGCGTCCTTCTCTGGTCCTCAGACGGCGGCCCGACCACATGGCGCATGGCACCGTGCTGTGAAACGACCAGGTTTGGTCGCCCGCAGTATCCAGCTCCTACAGTCCCTGTGACAGTGTGAATGAATGTGCACCTATGTGTACCTCAAGGAGTCAAAGAAGCCTTCCCAGCACCAGCACCAGCAGGTTTTCGGCCGTGTTATTTTTCCCCTCTGGAAGAGGTTTGTGTTGGATGATCTGCTCAAGTTGGAAGAAACCATTCTACATTATACAGTATTAGTATATACATAGGATGACTTCTGTGCACTAAAGCAAATATGCCTGACCAACAGTGATTTCAAAGAGTCCCTGGAAGTACTTGAACATGCATATCTTGCTAAAGTTCCCGGGTGGTAGCGCGATACAGTGCACGATCCATGCGTACCTTTTCTCTTCGAACACTGAAATGTAAAGGTGTTCCACCACAAACTACCTCGTGTTGTGTCTTAAAAGGGGACAAACCATTTCTGGTATCAGTCATGAGGTGCCTTGATACGCTGTTGACAAAGAATGCTGAACGATTTATGATTTTATCAGATTCAGATCACTCGATTTGAACAGCATTGCTCGGCAAAACTCACAAGTGCCACAACTCACAATCATCTCTATGATACTCCTTATGATCTGTGTTGCTTCTGGTTGCCTTCATTGACCGCCCACTACTACGCACATGTGTAGAACAAGAAAACCAAGGTTGCTACGGAGAGAAGGCTCTTGCAGCGCTTCAACTTCTCTCGAGCCTGCGAAGCCAGAGATCCGGATCCAACAAAACAACATACTCATACTCCAAAGATAGTCCAGAGTCCAACGGAATTCATACATGTTGGATAATTAGCGTACCCCACGAATCGCCAACCAATCATTTGGGTTATGTATATAGTTCACTGATTCTCCCATCCACCCACTCGAAACCCGTCCCATTGGATGACAAACACAACATGAAAGCGGTTCACCGAAGAATTTGCCTCAACTTCATCGTTCGGAGATCAAAGGAGATCAAAGGAGCTAACAAATGGATAGCTGCGTGGGTCATCCTAGGTCTATCCTTTTTCACACACCACATTGCATACATTCACGCATACATTCATAATACATTGCATGCACTACCAATGGATCTCTTCTTACGCAGGTGGAATTCTCTCTCCAAGACCTGAATAGCAGCAGGTCGTCAGCGTCCCCAGTGCCTCCCTGGCCGATCTTCCGCCCATCCTCCGATCTCCTGGCGACGTGGGGATTCACCGCGAAGATGCTGGGGCATTCAGACGCTGTGTCACCGAGGCCTTTTCAGACGCCATGCGCGAGAGAGGCATGTGGTGACAAACAGGTCAGTGGCATTTGGTGTGCGCATCTCTCTGTACCACAAGTGCGTGCAGTAGTTTTTCAGCACCCGAATGTCCAATTGAACACTGTGACGATCCCAATGCCCAACCAAAGTAGCTGACTCGGAATCTGTTTCTTAATATTAGGAGCTGTAGGACCGTCTACAGCCACACCAAAGCCATGAGGCATCCGCCTCATGAAAGCAACTCAAGAGTCTGGTGGTTAGGTGAACAAACAGGTTGAAGATGGCATTATCACAGGGCGTTCAGTGGCAGTTGAGTTCCCCAACGTTGTACTGTCATATTCCTTCCCTCTCTCTCTCGCGCATTCACCAGTCAATCTAGTGCGGAACTCCTGAAAAAGGATCTGAGTAGGCTTTCGACCCTCAAGATCTGATGACCCTCTGTTTTTTTTATTTATCATGTTCTTTATATACACATCGTCACATCCTGCATCACACGGACCCTCCGGTGCCCACACGGACCGGAAACTAACCGCTGCTCTGTAGCCATCCATCCGTTCTGGTCCGCTGCTTGGCCCCGCAGTGGCGAAACGCTCCTCACCAGTAGGGGCTTGTAGGTGAAATGCCCTTGGCTGCACGGTTCCATGAAGTCCATGAGGAAGTTCGCACCCTCGCTGCCCTCCTGCAAGTGAACATCTAGCTACCGCGCCGACCCAAACGAACCGCATATCACCCGACCGAAACATGAACGACGTCTGGCACGAAACGCATCGCAACCAGCGATCCTGCACCCGATCGGGGTCGAAAGACCGCTTTTGAAGGGAAGGAAAAGCGGTCAAGGGGGACTGTTCCATCTACATCCATCAACCGACTTCTCAGTTCTCGAAACGGATATGGCGAAAAACGTCGCCACGGCATGAGGGAACCCTCTCCGTCAAGCCGAGCTCCAGCAGTATGGTACGCCTCAGGAAACGGCCATCCACTCTACGCAACATGTTTGAAGTGGGAGTAAGATGGAATAAGTGGGATCTGCGCACCGTGGCTCGTGTGGGAATAAGTGGGAGGTCAGGAGCAGCCAGTTCTCAACAGGGTCCGCCTCATTGCTTTCCGGGCAATTTCTATGAGGAATGCATGAGCGCGGAGTCTTGCAGCAAACGTGCTTCGAACCAAAAAGCTCATCCGAAGGGCCGTTGTCGTCCTTGCTCTGCTGAACCTTGCTGAACCCTGCTATGTGGTTCACAGGTCTTCGCAGCCGGTTCGCAGCCGGTTTTGCGCTCCTGTCTCCAAGAAAGCACTGACACCAACCGGTTTGTTGACCTTTGCCGACTTCCAGTGACCATCTGGGTCTGCCCGCCAGCATTGCACTGGAAGGACACCGGTCCCCTGCCCAGGAGTTTCACACGTCGTGTGCAGGATGCGAAAAAAATAAGGGAGATTTGACTTAGGACCCACCGGGAATTCTCACAATCCACAATATCAATGTCGATATCCATCCATATCCGATATTCCATTGATGGTCTGCAAACACGAACCGTCGGAGACGAAACAAGTGTTTTTGTATGTTTTAGTCATTCTTCGACCCCATGCGTGTATCTCATCTGGCCCAGACTCAAGTCCTTTGGACGATTTGAGAATGGTGATGAATGGTGGGGTCTCAATCCTACCATCTACATTCACCGACCAATTGGTCTATGAATGGTCTATGGCAGTCTATGGTGGTCTCCAGTGTTCCATCCATCGACCTCTTCATCCATCGACCTGGCGATCCAGGGAGCTTTGGTTGATTGGACATAGACAAACGAGGAAGCTTGGGGCTTGGGGTGAGGGGATTTGCAATATGTGTTTCATATATTTGTTTAATGAGTGTATATATATATAAATCTTGATGGAAGTTACAAGAATCATGATTTTGATTGCGCAAACAAAAGAACAGCAAGTTGCCTGAATAACCAACAGCAAGCCACAACTCGTGCCAGAAAGGCTCCACGATCCGCACTGCTCGTGCAAGCAAGTCCTGAAATCAGTTTCCCAGCAAGTGGCCCTCTTTGGGCATCAACACCACTCAAATCCGTGCTGTAGAAGGGCTTGCCAGCCAGTCTTTGGGATTGAGCCAACTCTGCCGAATGGGGATATCCAGGAGGATCATCCCATCTCATGATCTCATGGCAAATGCCGCCTATGATCAGCCGACACGGTCATGAACAGTTGCACTCACATCGATTGCCTACCCTTCGGGCCATGAAGAAACATCTATATATGGTATATAGATAAACAATTCTAAACATATATACAAAATACTGACCCCCCCATCCCCCCTCTTTAAGGATTGGGCAAAAGTAGCGGTTCAGAGCAAATACAAAGCAACACAAAGAGCCTAGTATCTCAAATTCCGGCATGTCAGGCCAAAGTGCTCCCAAAAAATGAAACATGCAAGTTTATAGGGAGAGACACTGCTACAAGAAATATGGGCAAACCTCAATGCACTCTACTGCAAGTAGTCTTATTGTAAGGATCTTGCTATACAACTACCTCGAAGCAACTGCATATAGCACACTCAGCATTCTTTTACACAATGCACTGAAGATGCAGTGCCTGCTGACTATAGTGCGAAAGTGCCTTCACAATTGCAAACAAATGAACGAACGAGCGAGCAGCGAACGAACCCAACAAACAATCAAACAAACACGCAGTGCTTATACCGCGGCACAATAAGTCAGGAGCATTCAGAAGCATTCTTACTGGTAGAAAAACATTACAAGCAGCTTGTTGACAAGAAACACAAGAATCATGCATACTACTACTACTACTATTACTACTACTACTACTATTACTACTACTACTGTTACTACTGTTACTACTACTACTACTACTACTGTTACTACTACTACTACTACTACTACTACTACTACTATTACTATTACTATTACTACTACTACTATTGCTACTACTACAACATCATACCACTACCCAAGCGCATGTCGTTGACACATGTTTCCATGTTTATGACGACCATGAATTGAACATCTGTTGGGCTCATTTTACATCGATCCAGGCTCAAAACATGCTTGAACAGCCAGGCCCCAATATAGAGGCGCTAAGGCAAAGCACTTGAGGAATTGTCAAACCATCAACAACTGTTTTGTTCAAAGGATCTTGGAAGACCTTGCTCAGGAGGTCAGGATGTGTTCTGGACATTCTTGACTGCTTCCGGAGTCAAATGGATTCTATGTTTGCACTGATCACTGGTCCGGGGTCCTCTACATCTTCGTAGCCCATGCCTGGCAGGATGCAGAGGTTTAGGAAGATTCAGTCATCTTGCCAGATTTCCCTTTCAAATCGGCAGCAAATTCAGGCCTGCCTGTTCCTGCTGGCATTACATGGACCCTCCATAGCGGTTTTCTGTATCGTCAAAACCAGTGTCTTTGAAGGCCTAATTCGGTACTGAACATACTTGAAACACAAAGGAATCAAGCTGCTTCCTTTCAAAGCACCAGCTAGGCAGTCGATCTCCCCGAGAAGTCGATTCTGATTCAGAAATTTCATGCAACATTCTCTGAGTATTAACATTGTGTTTTGGAGATCCGTCTGAATCCTTGGACTGTAAACACCACTGCACGTGGACATAGAGCACGTGGAATTTTGCAGGGGTGCAAAGTGCAGTCCTTCAAAAGCCCGGGACGCCATCACGTTTTCTTATTCTGTAATTACATACGATAATTGTGAACTTTATCTATTTTTACTTGATAAATATGTTCAACTGACACCATTTGATAGATATATAGACTCTAGACCAAATCAGTTGATGCAGGAGTTCAGGAGTCAAGTCCCTATGTTCCAGACCTCCCAATTGGCCCCCTATGCCCCCCTACTCTCCAAACAAATCCCACACCTCTGGGAGCTCTCCGAGATTACTTACAAAGGAATTCCCTCCAAGGTGGTTCTCAACGATGGTCCATTGCAATTCTCTGTGGAAATAACGTGTCAAGTCTGACGACCCATCATCTGATATCATCTGAACTCTCCCATTTTCCCGTCAGCTCCCCTCATGCCTGGACTGGGCTCTGGGGATGGTAGCTGACCCAAGGGCGGCTTCCCTGGGAGTGCTTTGCGCAAAAACATTGGGCCCTGGTAGTTCCTCACTGCAGGGACAATAATGACAGGAAAGTCACAATCACTCTTCCAACCAAGGGCAGGTTGTCCAAGATCCCACACTCCTGAAAGAATGCCTACATCTACTAGAAAATTGGCACCACAGCAGGTTTTTCCCGAAACCGCTCCATTTAAAAACGATGTCTTTCTTCACGATGCCCGTTCGCTGCCCAGAACGCCGACCGGAACGCCTGGTCCGTCCTCTCTCCTCACAGGGCGGGCGTCATGGGTCGGGATCTGCTTGATTCATCCCAAACATGAAAGAACTAGACCCCCACTAGTTCTCACAAGGTCAAGCACTCTCAAACCCGTTGTTCTCGAAAGCGGCTTGAGATCCATTCTCGAAGAATCGATTCATTCAGGAACTCCACCTCTGTCTGGTTCATGGGTCGGAGTGTAGTTGGAGGCCATCGCTAGTGTAGTTGGAGGTGCTATAGGGGTTCTTAGGAACAAGAAGCTACGAACGGGGCTCCTGGCATCGCTACTAGCATTCTTACTAGTAACAAGAAGGCTAGTTACTGTAGATTCGCTTTCTCCGCACCTCCTCGGCTCTTGAGCACTAAGGGCCGCCTGGCGAGAAATCGAGGGAAAAAAGACGGGCCCACAACAAAGGTGGGGCGCTTTCCGGCAACTGTAGTTCCTTTGGGGAAGACATAACATGTACTACACAATAAGAAGGCCATTTGTTTCTTACCACCAATAGGAACCATCAAATACTGACTGTAAACTGTAAGAAAATCAAATAGATTCAGAATCACGACGTCATCTTCCCATCAAAAAGGATGAATATCTGCCAACATACGATGGTAACACAAGGAAGTAGAGGAGCCTGTCGGACCAAAGGTCACCTTTTCTTAGGTTGTGCGGGATGACCTGTCTTGCCACATGCTTGTATGCTGTATCTCCCTTGATTTGAAGGGTCTTTTGTTATTATGATGATGCTTACAGTATTGTTACTCTATATAATTACATATAACTACTATCTTTGATCCACTAGATTACCCATACCAGTACGATCGCTCTGAAAGCCGGAAAGTCTGTGGTTTTGTATGTTTGAACATGTTTGAACTTAGAACTGTTGGTAGAAAAATTGAACCAAAATGAAGCACACCAACGCTCTGCTTTGAGATGTGAGACATCCTTCGAACGTCACTCCGAGCGATCTGTAGCACACTTTGCACATCGAGCGACATTGGACCCCCTCCCCCTGATCATCTTGTGGATTTCACATCTTTTGCCTTGGCTGGTCCAGTTATATGAACGCCCTGCCACCCTGCCGCTGCGTGCTCTGCACACACTGCACGGATTGGGCATTCCTCACCAGCAGGGGCTTGTAGGTGAAATGCCCTTGGCTACATGGTTCCACAAAGTCCATGAGGAAGTTGGCACCTTCGCTGTCCTCCTGCATGGAATCTGGCGACTCGTTGGCACGTTCCGAGGCTGTTGATCTAAGGAAAAGCAAGAACAATAAAACGATATTGAAGATATCCTGCAGTGTCGCACACAAGACTACCAAAAGATACCAAAGTCTTTCTCAACTAACCCAACAAGCACCTGGGACAAAGGAGGTTTGGGGAGTAGTAGATTGATGGCTCCGATGTGCAACACACCCCCCGGACCGTGCGCGCACTTCTGCGTTGCACAAGCGTCGCGACCCTCTCCGTCAATCCAAGGTCCAGGAGTATGGTACGCCTCGGAAACGGTGGCGTCGGTTTGGGATGTCTAAGTGGAGCGATGAGCTAAAAAAACCGCCTGGACATACATGGAGCCCAGGGCGACCCTCTGTTGCCAAGGAATATACGTTGAAAGGGTTTCACTAGCGTAGGCATTGGCTACAACCTGCTATGAATACAATCCAGGGAATAGCTGCCCCTCTGTCAGGACATCCTCATAACTCATAACTCGGAGGATGCTCTGGGCACTTAAAGGCTTGAGCTTTGGGCGTTGACACCAAATTCCAGGGAACTTTTGAGGATGGCAGTGTGTGTCACTGATGTGGGCAAGAACCATGCCACGGAACCAAACGAAGAAGTGTCATCGGCTCTTTCGGAGCATCTCCGCTTCCCAACCAGGCAAAGTCCGTTCAAACATGTTTGCATCCTCAAAAAAGAACAGCCAGTTTTGTGCTCCTTCTCCTTTTGGAAGCGCCAAAAAACACCAACTGTTTCTTCACCTTTGCAGACTGGGTCTGCCCGCCAGCATTGCACTGGAAGGATGCCAGTCCCCTGCAGCACATCGAAATGCAAAATAGTCATTAATTTGCCTCATACTCACTCAGGACTATAGTGGTCCTCAAATAGATAGAAACAGTTTCCAATACATTTTTTAGTGGGATCTACTGTTCTATCTGTTTGAAGGTCTGTATAGAATCAGGACGGAATGCGCCTGAAGCACAGATTTCTGTCCACAGAAATCACAGGGAGGGAGAGACCCTAGTAGCGTCCTTGCTCCTAGTGGTAAGGCCAGGAGCCCCTAGTAGCTTCTTGTTCCTAGTAGCAAACTGCCTAAATCGGCCCAAAGAAGATAGACAATCCCCGAGATGCGAGAGGCGCCCGAGACTCGTCGCTTCTCGTCGCTTCTCGTCCCTTCATTCATCTTCATTCATCTATTCATCTTCATTGATCTCCATTCAACAGACACCCATATCGATGTTCTTCGATTCCGGTCTTCTGAGCGTTTTTCCGAGCTGTTCGGACCCACCGACGTGTTCACTTCGACCCGTCGGACGACCCGTCGACCGGTTAGTTTCCCGGCGCATCCGACCGGTGTCCAGGCACCTTTTCATCCATCAACCTGGCGGACCAGGAAAGCCAAAGATTGTTCTTCTTTCCCCATGTAACCGCAAAGCCGATTCTTTGGCTTGTGATTGGAGGTTGAGAACTTAGTTCATCTCATATATTTGCAGAATTTGGCAGATATTTGGGCCGAAGGTGTGCATTCTCTTGTAGCATTGCAACGGACATAGAAAGTGCCTACTCGGTCTCCATCGACTTTCCAATTGCCTCCATGAGACTGAATATGGCTGTAGATCAAAACCGGGACACCCTGGTTGACCACCAAGAATGAACAGAACAAACTACCTGGGAGATCAACCTACCCTGGTTTGGGGCTCTGGGTTTTGACCCACAGCCATACGGCCATCTGCACTTGTCTGCAGTATCGGGTGTTGTCTTAGAAGAATTGCTTTGGCATACGTTGGCGCTCGGATGTGAAAGCTAACAACTTCAGGAATTAAAGTGGCATGTTTCTGAATGTGAGAGCAGTAAGAACAAAGCAAAAGCCTTCAACATTTGGCTAGGCACTCTTGAAACTGACTTAAGGTTATTGTCCACTCACCAGAAATGAATTGAGACATTTTGGACATCAAGTCTTCTCAACACCCTTTCAAGTCTTGGACACCATCTGGGTTAACCAAAGGAGGATGGGGCCACTGTGGTGTGGGAGGCAATCCCTTCGGCCAACGACTCCCCAAAACTGGCAGGAGGGCTCTGCGCTCTGCGCTGCTCGTGTTAGCAGGTCCTGCAAATCAGTTCGCATCCATCATCGAAGTCACCTATAGGACCTAAAGGGCATTTCCTGCTAGGGCCACCCCATTCTTGGCACACTTTGCCATGTGACTTCAAATTCAATGAGGAAACGTGGTCAGCATCGTGCATTTCTTGGACCGCTTTCACCACAAAGAAAACATCGAGGTAGTGGATTGGACTTGGTCGTGGCCCGGCTGTCTGGAGGGCTGTTGCACCTTGCTTTGGGAGGGTTCCTTACAACACATGCTGGTGGGAAAGGCCGACTCATTGAGTGTTCTCCAAGATCAGATGCTTCCAACCAATACTCATGGATTGGCCCGTGCCTAGAATCGTGATTATGGAACCTTCCTGCAACAGGGTGCCTTCACTCAGCTACAAATTGAAAGACACCTTTCTATCATCTTCCTATCACCATCTTCTACGGCACCAGATCCTTAAGCACAACTCTGGACCCGCTCCAGAGCCGCTGGAGAAAGCCCCGTCTCCATGCCGGGCGCCCGGGTGGAGGGCAATGAGATGCCTCCGATGCCGCCTCCGCCCGCGCGTTTGGCTTTTGACTTTTGTATCTTTTGGTTCACCACCTCTGTAGCTGCAAAAAAAGCATAAGGAATCGTAATGAATGTGGTTCCGGCTGGATGCGTCTGCCAAGAAAGCATCCTTTTTGGTATATGATGGGGCCCAAGTGGCGAAATGGGTTGAGGGTTGAGGGATGTTGAGGTGATAGAAGACCTCTTGCATCCATCCCTTTCAGTCAAATTGGCCATGTCTTCAAACAACAACAAACATATGGTTGAAGCAGCTCATTCTTTTTAAATCCATGATTCCAGCACCTCACCTATACTTGCCAGTCTTCCACCTCGCTTGAATCAAGTCCAATCCTGTCTGTCATCTGCAAGTCACTGAATTACTTGAGCCACAACGTCGCCCGTCTTCATGTCGTGTGCTCGATCCCGCAGTTGATGTTCGATTGTGGCAGACTTATTCCCTTGACTTGCTGTTCTCGTGCTGTCGTGCCATGTCTCAACCGGACAGTTTTCTTTTTCTATCTGACCTGCAGTGGTCACTCGCCGGGAGTCTGACCTGCAGTGCTATTGCGATCGCCGAGCTTCGGGACGTCACGTGGCAGGCAGCGGCAGCAATTCACGTCGCAAAGGAAGAAGCTCGGTTGCTAAGCCCAGCAATGGAGCAATACGTTACTCTCTACAATTAGATTCACTTGGCATGCTTTTAAGGGTTAGGTGAAAGTAGGCATCCTTCCAGACATGGACCCGAGTGACAAATCTTTTGTAGCGGCTTGGCAGCTTGGGCATCCGACATGTCTGTTATGTCCATCTAAAATTCCTTCACAGGCCCAGTGACGCCCGAACACGACTGTGGCTTTCAAGATAACTGTGACAATATCACTAAGAGGCCAACAAACCTAAAGATGAATCTGTCGGCTGTAAAGCGAATCACGGTCGATGGGTTGGACCAGCGCTTGGACCGACAGCCGGCGTGGTACGCAAAAAACAGGCGATGAAAGACATTCCCAGTCCGATTCACCATCATGTGGAGAAATTCCCAAGAAAACATAATAAGAAAACTCATATTGTATAATTAGAGCAACATTACATGATATATGATATATAGATATAGTCACTTGGTAAATTCTTGAATGTTCCGTGTTTCCCTGTTTGTTGACACATCCATGCATCCCTATCTGTGACTTATTTGATGTTTCCATACTGTTCTCATAATTACTCTAATCTTTAAACGTGCATTCCGGTCCAACAAACGCATAGTGAGCAAGCACGGCTTCTTGCCCAAACCGAGGACAGCGCCTTCCTCAGCCTGCGAGACCAACAATTTGATGCCATGTTCGAGTCAAAAGTCCGTGGCCCACAGATCTTGTCCAATCTTCATTCGAATTAATTAGAATACTGTAAGAAAAATGTCAGTAGCAAACACCCCAAATCTTCCAACAATCCCACAAAAGGAGTGCTATGGCGTCTTAAGACTAAGTGGTTCTGGGTAGGTATAACTATAACTAACACCCGACTTCTATGGGATTTCTGAAAGTGCGCAACTTCCCCGGACTTGCATGGACAAGCAGGGCAATAAGCATCGGCTTCTTGGTTTGAGGCAGGCTAACTGAGGCCCCTCCTTGCCTTCTTGCGCTTCTTGGCCTTCTTTTCTTTTGGTGCTGCATCCGCCTGCATGGTGAAGGTGCTGACAGAAACGCACCTGGGGTCCCTGGAGTTTGGGATGCTCCATTTGACAAGCATGCACAGGGCCATCAGCTATACATTTTGTATGAGGTGCAAAGATGTTTGTATTTAGTGTGATCATATTGTACATCAGGTTGCATACCCTAAGCTGTCTGAACATGTTGTAACATATTACAGATGTTACTACATATATATATATATTACTAAATTATTATTGTGAGCTTCATCCCATGATTTGTCTGTCAATTGTAGACGCTTGTAGACAAACACGACCTCACACATGGCCTCCGACCGGCCCTCTCGGTCCCCTGGACTTTCCCCGGATCCAATCAAGGATTTGAGATCTACCATTGGTGAATGTCGAATAAAGAAAACTTATATAAATATCAACTCATGATCAACTCCTTGGGTCTCATACAAGTCTGAGTACATCCTGCATATTTACAAGTCTGGGTTGGACTTGATCTTGTCTTGATCTTCACAGAAGGACTACAGTATGAATGTCAGCAACTTCCTTTGAGGTGTAGAATCACATCATCTTCGCTGAAAAGCCTTGCCTCAATTCCAGAGTGTGTTAGCCAACAAAAAGCCTCGGTCAGAAAAAGCTAACCTCACGCTTGACACGTCCTTCTGAGCATTCTTTCCCATCCTCCCAAAAGACACCCCCCGGCCTCGTCATCATCCACCACTTCAACAGCCGCGTCCGCCGGTATCTGGTGGCAGCGTGGACTCCATCCCGACTGGTCGAAACCAAAGAAGGGAGCGTTTTCCAAAAATAAAGGCGTCAGGCTCCAGATCCAGGCTTGGCGCTGCCCAAGCCTCCACAAATCGATAATGTTAGCTGTATTTTGTGAGAAGTTGGGTGCCAAGATCGAGTACAAATCGTGGGCTAAAGATAAGTTCCAAATTGAAGAACTTGGAACTGGTGATGATTTTGACAGACTGTGCTTGAATTTCCTCACTAGCTGGGTTTGAATCCTGTGCCAGAGGTTCGGTGAACGAAACAAAGGGAAATGCATGGTCTTTCGAACCATTCCCATGTTCTGCTCAGGTTGGGAAGTTCAGGTCCAGCTGACCAGTTGATGGGATACCTCGAAGGACCTTTGTCACTGGTTCGCATGCTGAAGAGTATCTGAATTATACTCAGTATTGCTCTGTCCTGTAAGTAATTACTTATTCAAGCAAGACATAACATCGGAAAGCTTCACTAGCCCTGGGAAGTTAGGTATGCTTTGAGAAGTCGCCATTCACCCCCCAAGTTTCACAAGTGGTCATTGTGGTCACTCTTTGTACTGATACCGGCAAACACCAGGAACGACTGCACGACACCCAGTTCGTCGCCTCTGCGCCACTCAGTTCGTTAGTCAAGGCAGCTGCCTGCTGCTTCAGGAGCTTGGCCTTGCCATCAAACAGTGAGCTGCTCCAGTGGAGTGGCTGACAAACGCCGCTTTCCTTGGCTCCTTTTCGGTCGAAGATGGTCTGATGGCTGCTTTCTGTGAAGGTTTGCAGTCCGCGCCCCTGACGAAAGTAAACACAATAAGTAACCAAAGGCATCCCAAAGGCACATAGTGTGGATGGATGAGGCTAGGTGATGCTCGATGCTATTTGCAAGGGACAGTACGTGTTTCATGTTCTCCTTTTTTGAGTCCACAATGTCCACAAGAGTTAGAATCATCATGAATCATCTAGACATCAAAACAATAGACTGACCAAACACGTTCCCCAGCTGCCCGAATTGAAAGGAGCCTCTGCGACTCACTCCACTATCCAAGTAAGCAGCAAATTTCCTGACAAGGTATGAGAAGGTCAGAGCCTGGACTTTCCAGCTCTGAACATCAGTAGACATGTTTGTGGGGACTCAAACCATGAATTCTTCTAATAGAGTTCATCACAAAAGAACAAACACCCTCCATCCCGATCCATCCATCCATCCATCCATCCATCCATGGAGGATTTGTGTCAAATCACCCAGCTTTCGGACCAAATCGTTTGGCTTTGGATTCCACGACCTGCTCCCGACCTCGCTCCCGGACCGCTCCCGACCTGCTTCCTCTGGGCCTTGACCTCCTGCCGCTGTCGCTTCAAGGTCTCCAACTCCGCCCGCGCCTGAGAAAAAAGGCCGGCAAATGAGGACGTTGGCATGTTGCATCGTTTTGTGCGTGCGAAAGTGTTGCATGCAACTTCCGCGACGGTTTGCAATCATGTCCAAAAATCACTGAACAGCTCTTCCTCCCAGCATTTCCCAGCTTACTTTGCTTCGTCGCCCCTTGAGGCATCCTGGTTCACGCCAGACATTGCCCAGCCTGTCGCAGCGAACCGGACACCTTGGCGATGTTATTTTGGAGTTTCTCGTTGTCCTGTGCGAGAGCAGAAGAACTGATGCCGCATGATCCACTTTAGAGAGAACAGTCATAGTGATACATGCCATGTTTGCTAGTTTTTTGAATTGAGTGAATCAACCGCACATCTTACACCAGGTGGCAAGCGGCCATGGGGTGTGTCTCGACATACTGGGCCCTGCAAACAACTGAGAAAGGACACATATTTTGACTATCTCCGGTATCCCCCATTGTGTTTTGTGCACGGCCCTTCATTGTCTATAATTATTCCATGGTGTTGCCCCTGATCCATAGCTTGCTCATGCACTTCCATGAGCAAAGTGTGAACAGTGAAAAATGCCAAACAGGTAATCCTATCTTTAAAAAAACACAATCTTCAAAACACAAAATACATCGCAAACCATCGCATAACTTCGCTCAGCGCTCCGTTGTTGTGCACGGACTTGGTGCTAGTATTTTTGGTAGCGGCAAGGAGGCAATCATGGGTGCATACAAGGCCAAGCTCCTATTACTAAACAGAGTCTATGGAGTCTATGGTCGTTGCCTTTGTCTCCTATGTTCTTTTCTTTGCCCGCTCAACTCATGGTCTCCTGAGTGAGTTCCTTGCAGAAGTCGGCACTCTCCGTGCATTTCTGCTGGAGCTCGGCATTCTTCCTGCGAGGAAGAGCACACACATGACATGTCTTCTCAGAGCCTCAAAGCAGTGAAGGTGGTGCTGCAAACCACAGCCATTGCTGAAGCAAGCCCATCTGCAACAGGAAGTCATCTTTCATCAACAGGTTGGATACTTTCCTTCTTCAAAAAAACAAAGTGACCATCCAGGTCTTCGTTGGGTACTACCGGCGCCTCTGCTCGTTTTGAAAGGCAGTGCGCAACTCTGCGAGACGCTCCTGGCACAATTCTAAGTTTTTCCGACGGCAAAAAAACGGAGAAAGATATAAGTGTATCCAAACACATGGGACCACATGGTTTCTAGGAATGTAAGTCTTTTTGTGTGGTTTTATGCATGGATTTGGCATAACTGTA